TCTCTCTCCTCTCCTCTCCTCTCCTGGCCCAATTCACTCTGGACTTTTTTAGATGCCTCTGCCTCTACCAGTACTCTTCTTTATATCTACAATAAAAACCTCAGCCCCTTAGGAGCAGTCGCGTCCTCCTTTTATTTCTTTTTTTCATTCATCTGGTGCTGAAATCTGGGAGAAGGACATGACTGCTCCTGAAGGGCTGAGGTTCTTGCTACAGGGGAGAGCACAGGCAGAGGCAGAGACACCTGGAGAGTCGAGTGAACATGACCAGCAGACTGAACCCCGCCATGTGAGGAGAGGGGGGCGGGGCAGAAGCCAAGAGGGCAGGAGAGTGGGAACCAAGAGCCGGTGGCCAGGAAATAAAAAGGACTGCTTAACCAAAAGCCTGGGTTGTGTAGGGAGTAGCAGCTGGAGGAAAGGCAGGAAAGCTCAGGGGCTGGGGCGGCTGAGGTGGGGGTGGGGGGTGAGAAGTACTGAGGAGCCAGGACTTTCTAACGAGTAGGAACTGAGGGAGAGGCCAAAGTCCCCTTTGCTATGTTAAATAGGCACCTCCGTTGGCTGTTTGTCCTGGGGTCTGAGACCTAACACTTTCTCATGGAAACTTTCTATACAAATAAACACTAGTGTCTTTACTAAGTGTAGCTAGGAAAATGTAAAGTTTACAAAGCTTATAAATCTCTTCTGTTTGAGGCCAGCTTGAGTAATATGAGACTTAGTCTAAAAATTAAAAAAAAAAATAATTAGCTGGTTGTGGTGGCACAAACCTTTAATTTCATTCAGCTCTTGGGAGGCAGAGACAGACAGACACATTTCTGTAAGTTCTAGGCCAAGACCTCCCCTTCCCCCCAGTCTCAAAAAAAAAAAAAAAACAACAAAAACAAAAACAAAAAAACCCACAGTCTACAAAGAGACTACAAAAAAACACAGTCTACAAAGAAAGACAAATGTTTAACATCACTGGAAAAGTAATCAAGGTATACACGAAGAATCTCTCGGCCTGGTTTGGTGGTGCACATTGTGGATGAAAGCAAGAATCAGGAGCCAGACCCTGCTGCTTATGGCTGTGAGGCCACCTGAGATGCTGTCTCAAACCCACAACAAAATAAGGCCCAGAGTGGAGGTGCATGTCTCTAATTCCAGGACTGGGGAGGCAGAGGCAGGCTGATCTCTGAGTTCCTGCACCATGCCATCAGACCCAGAACTCTTTAAACCTAAAACCTAAATTAATAATTTAGAGACGTGGTGCCTCAAACCTGTAATACCAGTTACTGTGGAGACTGTGGAGGAGTGCAGGAGTCTGCAGCCAGCCTCAGCTACCAAATGAGCTCCGGGTCAGCCTGAGCTACAGCAGGAGATCCCATCTCAGAAATAGCACCCTACCACCAAGAATCTAAATTATTAAGTTCATTTGTGTGTGGAGGTAGTTATTGTAACTTTAATTAAATTTCCTATCTGTATAATGTAGTTTTGAAATTTTTATGATCTATTTTTTATTTTATGTGCATTGATGCTTTTGCCTAGATGTACGTCTCTGTAAGGTGTCAGTTCCCCTGGAGCTAGAATTACAAATAGTTGTGAGCTGCCATGTGGGTGCTGGGCACTGAACCCGGGTCCTCTGGAAGAGCAGCAGTGCTCTCAGCTGCTGAGCTGTTTTTCCAGCCACATAATTTCCTGTGTATAATGAAAATAGAAACTCTCTGACCTGCTTTGGGGGATTTGTAGGCAAGGGACTGTCCCCACAGAGTCCTACCACCCTACCTCTGGAGGATGTGCAAATAAAGCCCTGAAGCACTCATTGAATCATCGAGTTCAAAGTTTTTCTGCAAAGGGAAACAGTCCCTATTTTTCATTTATTTTTGAGAGCAATCTTTATTTTCAAAAAAGCAGTCTTCTCACTGGTTATTGTGAGAATTCATGGAGTTTACATTTTTTCTTCTCTGTTTCTCTAACAGCTCTGGCTGTCCTGGAACTTGCTCTGCAGACCAGGAATTTATGAATTTTTGTATTTAAAAAAATCTGAGAGGCCCACATGGCAATACATGCCTATAACTCCAGGGTTTTGACACTTGAGCAGATGAATGTGAGTGCCAGGCTAGCCTGGAGAACATCTCTAAGACAGTAGGAGAGGTGAGGGGATGAGGAGAGAAAAGGAGAAGAGAAAACAAAAGGGGGTAGGGAAAGAAAAAAGAAATTTTGGACACAAGATTTCCTAGGATAGAATTTTATCCACCAAACAAGTGTAGTGCAATAGAAACCACCCTCCCCAAGGGACCTGTGCCTAGTGCAGGTGTGCTTAGATCAAGTCTTTGTTGTTTTTTTTTTTTTTGGTTTTTCAAGAGAAGGGTTTAGCTATTTATTTATTCATTTAGTTATGTATACAGTGTTCTGTCTGCATGTGTCCCTGCAGGCCAGAAGAGGGCACCAGATCTCATTACAGATGGTTATGAGCCTCCATGTGGGTGGTGGGAATTGAACTCAGGACCTCTGGAAGAGCAGTCAGTGCTCTTAACCTCTGAGGCATCTCTCCAGCCCAAGACAGGGTTTCTCTGTGTAGTTTTGGTGCCTGTCCTGAATCTCGCTCTGTAGACCAGGCTGGCCTCGAACTCACAGAGATCCACCTGGCTCTGCCTCCCGAGAGCTGGGATTAAAGGCGTGCGCTGCCGCCGGGCTAGACCCAGTCGTTCTGAGTCTCATTTTCTTCTTTTTCTGTAGAAATTTGGCTTTTGTGATGGCAAAACCTCAATCTTTTCTAAAAATTCACTTTTATTCTATGTTCATTTGGTGTTTTGACTGCACATGTGTATGTGTGAGGGTGTCAGAAGTCCTGGAACTGGAGTTACAGGCAGTTGTCAGCTGCCATGTGGGTGCTGGGAATTGAACCCAGGTCCCCTGGAAGCTCCTAACCACTCAACCGTCTCTCCAGTCCAACAAAACATCAATCTTATGTGTAGTTTATCCCAGAGTTTTCATTTTTCATCCAGCTGCCCTCCACCTTTTCAAGATAAAGAGTCTATCCCTGTATAAAACTGGCACAGTGCATTCAGTCAAGCCAATTCTTTCTTTCAAAATTTTATTGATTATGTATACAGTATTCTACACTCACGTATACCTGTATGCCAGAAGAGGGCAACAGATCTCATTGCGGATGGTTGTGAGCCACCATGTGGTTGCTAGGAATTGAACTCAGGACCCCTGGAAAAGCAGTCAGTGCTCTTAACTTCTGAACCATTTCTCCAGGGCCCCTCCCTCCCTTTTTTTTTAAAGTCAGGGTCTCATTATGCAACTCTGGCTGGCCTGGAATTCATACAGATCTTCTGCCTAAGCCTCCAGAGTGCTGAGTTTAAAGGTGTGTGCTCCACCCCACCAGGCTTCAAACTGACTTTTGTTTCTTCTGTTCCGTGTAATGGAGCCTTGGCTGTCCGGGACTCGATTTGAAGACCAGGCTATCCTCGAAGTTACAGAGTCTGCCTGTCCCTGCCTCCCCACTGAAAGGTGTGCCGGGTTCAAACTGACTTTTTTTTTTTTTTTTTTTTTTTTTTTTTTTGTTTTTTTCGAGACAGGGTTTCTCTGTGTAGTTTTGGTGCCTGTCCTG